CCCCAACGAGTCACACATTTCAACAAGGTCCATTGTATCACGGTTAGTAACACGCTCCCCTTTAATTCTTTCCTCCGGCTTAAGTATATCATTAAAGTCCCCAAGAATCAACCAAGGTAATGTAATTCGACCCCGAGATGCTTTGAGGTCACTCCATAATAGCTTCCGATCACCCATCGAATGGAGACCATATACAAAGCTACTAAAGAAGGTAGTATTACTAACCTTGCAATAGATTTTCGTGAGGATGACTTGAGGCAAGGTGCTTTCCACCATGACGTCCACTCTCGCAGGGTTCCAAAGGATGGCAATTCGACCGCGATCAATAGTTTGAAAATTCTCACAAAACTCCCAACCCGACAACCTCCTATGCATGAAGAGAGAAAGTCGCCTATTGACGGTTTTTGTGTCTAATAGATCCAAGATGTCTACATTATTCTTCCGGATGAGGTTGGCAACCTCATCTTGTTTTAGGGGCCCGTTAAAGCCCCTAATATTCTAAGAGGCGATAATCATTGTGAAGAGGAGGGGTTGCCCCCTTTCTTCGAATGCGCGTTTTTCCCCGGGTCCTTCCTTGTGCTCGGTTTGTTCATAGACTTTATTGTTTGCTCCCATTGTTGATTGTTGATTGCCGAGCAACTTCTTGTGTGGATTTTATTTCTCTTCTCTACCCTTTGAAACCCCTCCTCTGTGGATTCCTCCAGGTTGGCTTTTCTTTCGGGGATGGTAGAACCGGTGGCCGAAGAGCTAGCGGTCACTAAGGGGCAAGCATTTTCAACCTTTTTTCCTTGATTTGTGCTCTCATTGATCTCCTTTTCTTTTGTTACTTTTGCCTTCTTCTTCTCGGGGGCATTATCATTAACCCCGACTTTTTTCTCCAATGGTCCTTCGTTGTCATGCTTTTCCAACTCCCCGGTTGCTTTCTTACCCTTTAGGTGGGCCGCATGTTTCCCACAATTGGAGAGGGAGTGGCCAATGTACTTGCAAAAGGAGCAATAGTGGGGGACATATTCGTAGTCTACCTTTTGCTCGAACAATAATCCTTCCTTGGATTTGACGGGAACACTAAGGGTCCGCTCCTTTGAAAGGTCCAACTCCACCAAAACCCGTGCGTAGTTCCTTCTTGCTCGTGTTGCCGTTGGTTTGTCGGTTGTTATGGGCTTACCGACACAAGGGGCAATTTTTGCTATGGTCTTCGCATTCCAACACTCCCCGGGCAAGAACGGGAGGTTGATCCAAGCGGGAACTACTTTGATGTCATCTTCCCCAAATTGGAACCAATTTGGAAGGTTTTTTAGGATGAGCCCCCTCCCGTAGATGGTGTACGGTCCACCTTGAAGCACTTTGACTCTATCCTCCTCGGTCTTAAATTTGAACACAATCCACCCGTTGACATTTGGGACTATGTCAAAGTCCACCTTCCAAGTCTTACAAAGCTTTAGAAGAGCCTCTTTTCCCGGATGTTTTTGGGTAAAATATCCCACAAGGCAAAAGCCCCATGTTTCGGTGAGCTCGGAAATGTCATCTTCTTCAAGAAAAGCTCCTCCCTCTTTTGGTGGGACATAGTCTAATTTGAGACCAAAGGAGGGCTTGGAGTTGTTGGCAAAGAGGGCCGAGAAAGACCTCTTTTGTGTAGTGGCATCCTTTTGTGACTTCACCAAGTTTTCCTTTTCGTTTTTCATTTGGGACATTTCATCAAACATCTTGTGGGTGTTATTTTTGCCTTGACTTGTTGCTAGCTTTTGATTGCCCTCTTCACCCTCCAACATCTCAACATCAAAACCCATGTTAACAAGATCATCAACAATATTATTATCATTGCTAAGCTCATGATTGGCCACGGCTAGCCCAAGTAACACCTTAGAGCTCTCGGCGGCGGGCTTAGTAAAATTATCTTCCACAAGGTTGTCTTCTACCAGCTCTTCCTTGAGTTTGCTGATTCCTTGGCCTACGATTGAGTCGCCGGAGTCACTTTCTTCTCCGGCAGAGAGGCGGTCATCAGAAATTTCGAGAACTAGCTTTCGGTACTTAGCTTTTCTTTTACCTTTAGCCATATCAAGAAGGATGAAGTGGGAAATGTGAATTTGGTCACGAAATTGATTAAACAAAATACAAGAAATCTTTAGAGATTGAGCTCAAGCTTGCCAAGGCGCCGTGGATGAGAAATCGTCCATGGGAGGGAAATTTTCTTCTCTCTAACCTTTGCTTTTTTGACTTGTATGCCTCCTTGATTCAGCATGTGGCTGCTTCATTCAACTAGTTAGCCGCTTGTAATTGTGTGTTATTAATATATTCTTTCGTTCCAAAAAAAGAAAAATCTTACAGTTGCACAGAAATAATACGACTTGAGAAATTTTAAAACCTGAAAGTTAATAATTGTTTGTTCATCAAATATCCAGTCATTTTTACTCTCATATCCGAGTTATAATTTTTAATGATTATCGTAAGATACAAAGTTGAATAATTAAATACCTAATGGTAATTCCATATACGTGGATTCTTCATATAATATATGATAGACGAAAATCTAATATTATTCTGTTTATCACGTAACAAGTTAAATTAACATATTCAACGATATCGAATCCTACATTAGCACGAAAATAATACGATTTTAGTATTTTCAAAATATGCCGATGTTACTAATAATTTTTCAATTTTTTTTCCTACAAAAATATGCTCGGAATCAATCTTCATGATTCAAAGCTTTATCTTAAGTTACCTCTATGTTTAACTTATATTAATAGATGCGGTGCTTTTTTAGTCACTAGGTATAATCGTTTTTTAAGAATCATATGTTGTTGATAGAGTGGTCGAATAACTAGCATTATTCAGCAGTTTAATATTCCCAATGAATCGACGACTTCGAGGTAGGTTGTATTTGTGCCATTCAAAATTACCAAGTAGAGAGCAACATGGGCATACACAAATCCAGTGTTGCCTTTTGGCGGCTCATTTTCATTTTTTTTTTTTTTTTAATAGTACAAGGGTGCATTTCCATTTTATCATTTCAATTGTAGGAGTTATGTGACATTAATTGATCTGATAATCTTGACGAATCAATGTTGTTTGGTATGAAACATTAATGATATTTTTTTTTTATAACATACCGATTATTTTATATACTAGTATTCGACCTATGCAAATGCACAGATATAAATAAAGTATTGTCAGTTATTTGTATGCACATAATAATTAATAATTTTTCTTGCACTTTTTGCAGGAAAAATTTACAATTAAAGGAACTGGAATATTTATTTTTTTAAATTGCGTTTATCATATTGGATGTAATGTATATTTTGGTATGCAATTTTTTTTTTTTTTTTTGTGATCATTTATTATTTATTTATGAATTTTAAATACGATTTTTATTTTCCAAAAGAAGTTAATTTAAATGTAATTACAACAATAACATTTAATCACGTTAAATAGTCAACACATTATATGGTCAGTTGTAAGTAAATTAAAAGTTTAAAATAATTTTTTGTAATTTTGAAGTGATTAATGTGTTGATTATCTAATAATTAAATGAGAGTCTAAATAAATAAAAAGTAACGGTTTTTGGAGGGAAAAATTATATTGCCACATAGGTATAATTTAATAAGTTTTATTAAATGCTCATGAGCCAGCAATTATATATATATATATATATATATATATATTGATTTGTATATTAAATATGGTTTATATATTTGCATTTCAAAACGCATGACAATGCATGAAATTAATTAATTATATATCATGTTTAGATGTTATTGTCTTAATTGTGGAGACCCATCTTAGTCAAATGAATATATGATATTTTTTTCATATTTAATTTTGTATTTCTATTATTGCCGTCATGAGATGTTTAAACATAAATAACTATATTTAAAATAAAATTATAAAAAATATTTTAAGGAGTAAGTACGTAATTGCATCAAGGGATGCTCACTAGAAGTGGACTATAATCACAGGACAAATTATTAAAAAAAAAAACACTTTGTCGTATAACACTACAATAGTTGTTCCTACGTACGTACGTGTGCCAATCTTCATACCTGTGTAAACAAATCAAATATATATATATATATATATCATTATAAATTAATGAGCAACTAAATTTAGCCCTTGCCAAAAAAATAAATAAAAATAATAAATAATAAATAAAAGAAAAAAATTAAAATATGGGTTTTTTAATCAGATGGAAAAAAAAGCCATAATTTATAATGGAATATTAAAGCAGTTTTACCAACATATGCCATTGATTTTAAATTTGTTATACAACTTTTCTGCACAAAATCAAGCAAATTTTTGGTGGTCTTCACCACACTACTTAATCAGTTTTCAGTTTCCATTGGCTACCCTCAAATAGGTCTAATATTTACATAATCATACATTTTTTTTTTATAATAAATTTCTACATTCATATTTTAAAATGTAATACGTACTTTAAAAAACAATAAAACAAAAGTACTCATTTCTATTCAAATTAATGAATGACAGGTCAACCCGCCTAACCGTTTGTTCGCATAACAAAGTAATCTGTTTCAAACATTTATTCCAAACAATATCGAAAGTTAATGAAATTCGGGTATTTACCTTTCACATCCCATCATCTCTTAACGATATTATTATTGTTGTTGTTGTTGTTGTTCTTTCTGGTAACAACACTTTGGTGATGATGATCACAGGGTTCATAAGGGTTGTTTGTGGCATTATATATCGACTTCCCCATGAGATGAGCTTTCCTTGCTTGGTTCATTCTGTGTTTGAAAATCGATTTTATGTAAAATATGTATCGGATATATTAAAGCAATCAAATATCCAAGTAAGTACTTATATCATAAGATGCTAGCGCTAGCTAGATGATATTCATTCAAATAATTGAAATAACATAACTATATTCAAATTAACTAACAATTTGTTACACCTTAACAATGAATTCGAAATATTCGAATGAATCTTCAATTTTCAATAACGTTAATTAATTAGCGAACATTGCAAGCGCTTGCGTTTACCTATGTAATCGTTTTTCGAGGAATCTAGCTAGAGTCGCCCTCCTAGCCATAGCCACTGTTGGAGTATATCCTGTTTTGTTTAACCATAAAATAACATATGATTTATATATTAATTATTAATTAACTACACTTCTTAGCATCACAAAATTAACCTGGTCCTGAACTGCAGATTCTTGCATGAACCGAAAGACCGGGAACTGCCTTTCCCTGGAAGTTATATGTCAAAAAACAATTATAAACATAATATTGAGATTTTAATAAAATGTGATTTTTACTACTATTATTATTATTATTATTTTAATTATAAAAGAAGATATTGAATTAACATAATTGAATTTTTTTAGAGAAAAAAAAATAAAAATTAGTACCTTTTCTTGTGCATTATCATAGAGCATGGTTATTATTGATGCAGGCTCGGATTGAATTTCATTTATTTTCCTATAATGGTACAAACACAATTCGAGGATATATTAAATCTTTGTGCCTAATTCTAATTGTCTGTTCACCAATTATATATACACACTCGTACGGAAAAAAAAAGGGAATCGTACGGATAAAACCCCAAAAGGGAATCGTCGGTACGTGTACGGACAAACATATAATAATAATAATAGATCCACATAATATTTACTCATATGTGTATGTAGCGTGAGTACATAAAAATGAGATCTAAATATAATTACCTTAATTTGAGATTGTAAAAAGGTCCGGGCGCGGCTGTTGTGGTGGGCGACGGCCGGTAAATTGGCGGCGGAACAAAAGCGAGACTTTGTTTTCCGGTAAAGCTACACCTAGTAGCGGTTGAGCCGCCGCTACTACTTGAAGAGAATTCAGCCAATTTCCCTTTCTTCTTCTTTTGTAAAAAAAATAAATATAAATTTGTTAATTAATTATACTGAGTTTAGTTTATAAAAAAATTAAAAGTATTATTAAAATTTAAAAAAAA